ATAGATAGATAGATAGATAGATAGATAGATAGATAGATAGATAGATATAACTATTTAGATGTTAGCTGCATCTGGGTTTTGTATGAGAACACACACATTTCTCTGTATTTTAATTGCTTTATATCAAGGTTTGTGTCTTCAAAAGAAAGCAACCAAACAAAAAAAAAAGGTTGAATTTAAATAAATATAGGAGTCTGGCTCAAAATGTTCAGACCACTGGCCCCACCAGCACAAATAGGCCAGACACGGGGATGTTGGGGGAATAGAGGTAAGTAGGCCGGGTCACATTAGAGGATCTGAGTCTAGAACATGGAGAAGCAAGAAGCAAAAGAACAAAACCGACTCAGAGAGGTTTTCTCCGCGTGTGGAACCAGACGAGACAGAAGGTGAGGAGGAAACCCAGAAAGCAGCTCGTCTGGACCCACATCCTGTTGTTATCATGGACACCAGCGCGCGCGTTTGTGTGCAGTAAGCAAGAGAGATTTGCCCTTTTTTCTTATTATGAAAAGAACACGAATTGAATGATTAATTCTAGTATTAAATTGGCATCACTGCCCCTTTTTTCCCTTTTTTTTAAAAGAGACTTTCTGTTTGTGCAGCAGGAAAAAAACATGGCTCTGACTCGTAAGATAAACCTGCTTTTATTTGATTGTGGTGTTTTTTTCTTGGCATAATATCAATCCAACTAACGTTGGCATGTCAAATGATCTTAGTCTTGTAGAGACGAGCACCACTTAAAAGATATAAACCATATATGTCTACTTAATCAGAGTCCTCCATATGTTTTTATCAGGTCATTTCTTTGATTTGACTAACTGGAATTACAGAAAATGACCAAACAATCCAAATCAAAACAGTTAAAGAAAGAAAAAGAAGAAGAAAACCAAACCAGAAGAAAGACACAGAGTAAAAATTTAAAGAGGTCAGACTCACCAAAGTAGACAGGCTTGCCACAGATTGGACAGTAGGCTACCATAGTACGTAATTATTTATCACACAGCGAATGTGTGTGTGTTTGGGTGTGTATGTGTGTGTATATATATATAGATAGATATCTATATTTGCACTTAAAGCTCGTGTTGTGAGAAAGTCAGGAGTGTGTATGAACTGAAAAACCGTTAAACTGTGAGACTGTCTGGGTAGTCAGCCCAGGATGTGGTGGGCAAAACGTCACAGGAAGTGAATAAAATTTGAGATTTGTGGCTCGAACATTGTTATAAACCAAAAAAAGGGAGTGTCAGCTAGCAAGGTATCAATTTCAGTCATATCCTCCACGTACTAAAACGTAAAAGACTTTAAGATAACCACCGTGTCACTCTCAGTACACAGCACGTGTAACCCTTTAAAGGAGACATATCATACCCTATTTCAAAAACTAAAACTAAGCTAGTTCCCTGGTGTCCTAATGTAATGTCTGTGACAAGCTTTGGTCAAAATCCCATAAGGATGAAGCCCAATAGCAGTTCAGTCCCCCTGCCTAACCCTAACCCTAACCCTAACCCAAAACAGCCCCGTTCAGAGCGCTTTAATTTAAAGAGTGCCTGTCTCTTTAAATTAAGTATTTTGGATCTGAGACTTTTTGCATCATTCAGTGGTAAAAGCTTTGCTCAAACCCCTGTTTTACACATTCAGATATACCTGATAACAGCCAGTAGAAGACTACACCAAAATACATTTCTGACTTATTGCACGCTAATTTGTTCAAAATAATTTCTGTTTTTTTATCTTCATATGTTGTTGAGGGGCCAAAGAAAGACTTCAGACGAAAAAAATCCAATATTCTTCCTATTTTTCTTGGATCAGGCTTTAAAGGGCTAACTCTTTTCCTTTCTGTGAAGTTCATCACAGTTCATCCTCTTTGTCCCGGCTTAGTTGAGACCGGCTACTGTCTCCCACTTTGTCTCCCTCATCTCCCC